CTCAGAGACCATGATACACACTGACACAGAGCAGAATAGAGACTGTTCCCCCTACATAGGGTCACTTGGCAGATATGGATTGACACTGTCCACAAGGACAAGCTGCAGGCTTCCTGGCAGGGCCCATACAAGGTGGTAGAGCAGGTTTGTGATACCACCTTTGTGATTGGTGCGGTCACAGGCACGGGAGGCAAGCGCATGCTCCATGTGAACATGCTCAAGCCATACCACGAGCGCACGGAAGAGGTAACCGCGATCTGTGCACCTGCCACTGAAGATTATGATAATTTGCCACTCCCAGATCTCCTAGACCAAGAGGGCCAGAGCGGAGACCTGGGAGAAGTACAGTTAGGAGAACGGTTAGACCCCCAGGAGCGAACCCAGGTCCAAAGACTAATCCAGGACAAGGGGGCCACGTTTTCCAACCTACCTGGGTACAGTCCGTTAACCACTCACAAAGTTGAAACCCTAGACCAGACCCCCCTTCGCCAAACCGCCTATCGCATACCCGAAGCAGTTAAAGAAAATATGTGGAAAGAAATTGAGGAAATGATGCAGTTAGGGGTGATAGAACACTCTGACAGCCCCTGGGCCTCCCCGGTAGTACTAGTACACCAGTGAGTGAGTGGTGGCACTGGGCACAGTATCCACTGTGAGCCTGACATACCCGGTTTGAGACAACTAACTGCTATTCAATCTATAACAGTGAAAAAAAAATTTGGTTTTTAAATGCAAGCTATTGTGACACCAGTGAGTGAGTGATGGCACTGGGCACAGTATCCACTGTAAGCCTGACACACCCGCTTTGAGACAACTAACTGCTATTCAATCTACAACAGTGAAAAAAAAATTTGGTTTTTAAATGCAAGCTATTGTGACACGAGTGAGTGGTGGCACTGGGCACAGTATCCACTGTGAGCCTGACACACCCGCTTTGAGACAACTAACTGCTATTCAATCTATAACAGTGAAAAAAAAATTTTGGTTTTTAAATGCAAGCTATTGTGACACCAGTGAGTGAGTGATGGCACTGGGCACAGTATCCACTGTGAGCCTGACACACCCGCTTTGAGACAACTAACTGCTATTCAATCTATAACAGTGAAAAAATTTGGTTTTTAAATGCAAGCTATTGTGACACCAGTGAGTGAGTGATGGCACTGGGCACAGTATCCACTGTAAGCCTGACACACCCGCTTTGAGACAACTAACTGCTATTCAATCTATAACAGTGAAAAAAAAATTTGGTTTTTAAATGCAAGCTATTGTGACACCAGTGAGTGAGTGGTGGCACTGGGCACAGTATCCACTGTGAGTCTGACACAGAAGCTGGCAGGCAGGCAGGCAACTGCAATTACATTACACAGAAAAAAAAAAAAGCAGACTGATGTTCTAGCCCTGAAAAGGGCTTTTTGGGGTGCTGTCCTTACAGCAGAGATCAGATGAGTCCTTCAGGACTGTAGTGGACACTGTATACACTAACCTAGCTATGCATTTCCCTATCTAATCAACAGCAGCTACACTTTCCCTCCTCTTACTAAGCATGCAGCTTGAGAATGAATGTAAAATGGATGCTGTCCAGGAGGTGGGAGGGTCTGGGAGGGAGGGTCTGCTGCTGATTGGCTGGAATGTGTCTGCTGACTGTGAGGTACAGGGTCAAAGTTTACTCAATGATGACGAATAGGGGGCGGATCGAACCGCGCATATGTTCGCCCGCCGTGGCGAATGCGAACACGCTATGTCCGCCGGGAACTATTCGCCAGAGAAACGTTCGGTGCATCACTACCCAAACATAACAATTTGTTGAAACTAAAAATGAGGGTAGGTATTACCGTGAATTGGGACTGAATGATTGGTCATCTTTTTTCTGATGTTGATTTGGTGTTCTAGGAATCTTATTTTAAGTTTCCTTTTCGTTTTCCCAATATACTGTTTGCCACACGGACACTGCAGTTAATATACTACATAGTCCGTGTGGCAACCAATTGTGTCCGTAATCAAATATTTTTTCCCAGTGGCTTTACTAACAAAGTCCTTTTGAGTTACTCTTATATTCCCTGTCAATCTACATGCATCTGGCGACGGTATATAGATGATATACTTATCGTTTGGCAGGGCACTGAAAATTCCTTTTCCAATTTTGCTAAATTTTTTTAAATCAAAATGTATATATAATCTTAAACTTACATCAGAATGGAACAATGAAAAAATTGATTTCTTGGATGTGACCCTTTCCAGTAGTGGACCTGGTGTGATTTCCAAATGTTTCTTTAAAAAGACAGATGGAAACAGCTTCGTCCATAGACGGAGTTGTCCCTATGATCCTTGGCTTCGAGGCATTGCCAAAAGTCAATTTATAAGGGTTCACCGAAACTGTTCTAGATTTGACGAGTTTCAAACCCAAGCAACAGTTTCAAACCCATCGCAAAGGTATATGATAAAAATCATCTGGAGAAAGAATTTTTAAAAGTTTCTAAAGTTAATAGATGTAATTTGCTTCACGATAAACCAACGAAAAGGGATTGCAAAGACAATAGAGCCACAAATAGGTTTGATCACGATTTTATTACAAAATATACTGATCATTATAAAATTAAGAGGGCAATATCTAAACACTGGTCTATAATAAGAGAGGATAGCATTCTGGGACATTCTCTTACCGACTATCAACCAATAATTTAAAACAAAAAAAAAAATGTAAAAAATAGTCTGGCTCCCAGTTACAGTTTAAAAAATGCCAAAAAGAATTTCAAAAAAATAAATAACTTAGGTTTCAAAGGTTGTCTGACATGCAAAGGATGTAGAGGGAAATGAGAGGAACTCAAAAGGACTGACTAAAACGTAGGTTTCACCAACCTTGTTCCATGTTAACTTTTCCTGCTCGCCAGTGCTCAGTCACCTTGACTGTAAACTTTTCCTGCTCGCCAGTGCTCAGTCACCTTGACTGTAAACTTTTCCTGCACGCCACTGCTCAGTCACCTTAACTGTAAACTTTTCCTGCACTCCAGTGCTCAATCACTTTGACTGTAAACTTTTCCTGCACACCAGTGCTCAGTCACCTTAACTCTCTGCACTTCTAGTGCTCCAAGCCAGCCTGCTGCTTTCCAACTTTCTCACAGGAGAGAACAGCGACTCTCCTACCTGCTTCCAGGGAGGAAACCAGCAATCCCCATACCTGCTTAGCAGGGAGGGGTTTTATTCCCACTGCTGTATCTGATTGCTTCCAGCTGAGCCATAGGTTGGTGACAGTCCAAATACCCGGTCTGGATTTATGTCTCCCAAAAAAACAATAAACAGCGGAGTGGAGCACTGGCCCATCCTGCTCTCCAAACTAAACATTGGTTTTTTTTGTTGTTGTTGCGCACAACACGTACTCCCCCTGGGGTTAAATGTTATATGCCTTTCTATAAATCTAGGGGAAATATAGATTATTTCACGGATCTCACCCTGTAGTTTATCACAATATAAAAACACACATTAGGCATGTGCAAGAGGAAAATATTCGGCTCGGTTCGGCATTCCAAAATTCGGGACTTAGGCACGTGAACACTTCGGAACTTCGGCCACTTCGGATCTTAGACACTTCGGCACTCCGGCATTTCGGGGCTTTTCTTACAGCCGCTTGGTAGATAACTCCCTAATTCCCACGGTATTAGAGAGTTATCTACCAAAAGGCTGAAAGACCTAAATTGGTCTTTCAGCCAAATTTACTAATACTAAGTAAAAGTGTGTCTATTGACTGTGACTGCTCACTGTAAAAAAAAAAAAAAGAAAGAAAAAAAAGTCCACCCTCCCTGAGCGGCGGGTGGGGGCCCTAAAGTAAAAAAAGGGAGGACCCATTGTCCTCCCCACCCCTGAGCGGCGGGTGGAGGCCCTAAATAAAAATTGGGGGGGGAACCTTATGTCCTCCCCCCTGGCCCCCACCCCTGAACGGTGGGTGGGGGCCCTAAATACAAATTGGGTGGGGACCTAATGTCCTCTCGCCTGAGCGGTGGGTGGGGGCCCTAAATGCAAATTTAACCCCCCCTCCCCTCCAGGTGACTAGGTGTCCCCAAACCCCTAGTCACCCGCTCCCCCAAAAAATAAACCCCTACCACCCCCTCACCCTAAAAATAATGAGGGAGGACCTTTAAGTACCTATAAAAATAAACTTACCATTTGATGTTTTCTTTCTTCTAAAATCTTCTTTTCTCAGCCCCAAAAAATGCCAAATAAAAATCCATAATAACCGATTAACCGTTTAGGTCCCCCCCTTATTCTAGTTTAGGGCCCCCACCCACCACTCAGGGGTGGGGGCCAGGAGGAGGACATTAGGTCCTCCCCCCTTTTTTTACTTCAGGGCCCCACAGGTGGCTCACTGTTTAATAGACATGTCCCTACTCGCGGTATAGCGAGTAGGGGCATAATTTACTAATACTAAGTAATCTTTACTTAGTATTAGTAAATTTGTCTGAAAGACCAATTCAGGTCTTTCAGCCTTTTGGTAGATAACTCCCTAATACAGTGGGAATTAGGGAGTTATCTACTTTATTCATTCCTGTCATTACATGACTGGCTAAGTAACTTACATTTTATATGAATGTATGTTACTTGATTGTTGTAAGTGTTGCATATGCTTACAGCTGAATCCTGGCCATGTTTGTATACTTTTTATTTGAAATTGTATACAGTGTAACATTCTTCTTCTTTCACTGGGTAAGTATATTTGTACTTAGGCAATACTGTGCTTCAGAACTTTGGCAACTTCGGAACTTAGGCACTTCGGCACTGCTACACTTCGGAAATTCATGGTTAGTGGGGGGGGGCGCACTGTACCTCCTGCTGGTCACAATAACAATCCTCTCCCTCGTGGCTCCGGCGCTCAGTCAGTGAGTCAGAACACAGGGAGGGGATTCCCAGCCTGTGTTCTGAGTCATCACTGAGCACCAGGGAGGTTGTTATGGAGTGTGCCAGCAGAGGGCGCAGAGCGTGTATTCTGCAAGGTTTCTCCCCTGCGGCCACTCTGCCTGCACCTGCTGCACTGCCTGACCCTGGGCTGGGATGGAGAGAGACAGCCCCTGAATCATGGTAAGATATTATTATTGTAAATTCATCCTCACCCCCTCCCCCTGTCACCCTCTCACCCCCTCCCTCAGTCACCCTGTCACCCCCTCACCCTGTCACCAGTCACCCCCCCTCAGTCACCCTCCCTCACCCTGTCACCAGTCACCCCCCCTCAGTCACCCTCCCTCACCCTGTCACCAGTCACCCCCCCTCAGTCACCCTCCCACTCACCCAGCCAGCCAGTCACCCCCCTCAGTCACCCTCCCCTCACCCTGTCACCAGTCACCCCCCTCAGTCACCCTCCCTCACCCCTGTCACCCCCCCACTCAGTCACTCTGTCACCCCCTCCCTCAGTCACCTGTCACCCCTCTCCAGTCGCACCCTGTCACCAGACACCCCTGATCACCCTGTCACCCCCCCTCACCCTGTCCAACCTCCCTCAGTCACCCTGTCATCCCCTCCAGTGCTCTGTCACCAGTCACCCCCCTCCCTCCAGTCACTCTGTCACCAGTCACTTGCCCCCCTCCCTCGTGCTCTGTCCAGCCCCTCAGTGCCTGTCACCCCCCCCTCAGTCACTCTGTCACCAGTCACCCCCTCCCTCAGTCACCACCTCCCTCCGTCACCTGTTACCCCCTCCCTCAGTCACCCTGTCACCCCTTCCCTCAGTCACTGTCACCAGTCACCATAGGCGTGCGCACGGGGTGTGCCGGGTGTGCCTGGGCACACCCTAATCCCCGCGGCACGCCTATGTATATTGAGACCGGCAGGGGAGCTCTCAGGATCTCCCCTGTCGGCTCATGCAAAGCCGGCGCTATCCGAGCTCGGGCTCTGCTCTCAGCCTCCCTCCCCACCGATCCACATGCAGGGAGGGAGGCAGGAGAGGACCGGCGGAGCTCTTGCCAGTAGCTCCGCCGGGTTCCTCTCGCGAGATATGAGCGTTGCCACGGCAATGCTCAAATCTCGCGAGAGTGAACTCTAGCCCCACAGGGGCTAGAGTTCACTCTCCACTGGACCACCAGGGATGGAAGCAGCAGGAACAAGGATCCCCCCTCCCAGGCACAAGGTAAGAAGGGAGGGGGGATATCAAGTAATGTACCCCCACCTCCACCCCCACAATCACCCACACACATACAGCACACACATACAGCACCCACACCCTCACATACAGCACCCACAGACATACACAGTACCCACAGACATACAGCACCCACAGACATACACAGCACCAACACACATACAGCACCCACAGACATACACAGCACCATCACACATACAGCACCCACAGACATACACAGCACCATCACACATACAGCACCCACAGACACATACAGCACCATCACACATACAGCACCCACAGACACATACAGCACCAACACACATACAGCACCCACAGACATACACAGCGCCAACACACATACAGCACCCACACACATACACAGCGCCAACACACCTACAGCACCCACACACATACACAGCACCAACACACCAGCACAGCACCCACAGACATACACAGCACCAACAGACATACACAGCACCCAGCACCCACACAGCACCCACAGACATACAGCACCCACAGACATACAGCACCAACACATACACAGCACCCACAGACATACACAGCACCCACAGACATACACAGCACCCACAGACATACACAGCACCAACAGACATACACAGCACCCACCCACATACAGCACCCACAGACATACACAGCACCAACACACATACAGCACCCACAGACATACACAGCACCAACACACATACAGCACCCACAGACATACACAGCACCTACACTCATACAGCACCCACACACATACAGCACCCACAGACATACACAGCACCTACACACGTACAGCACCCACAGACATACACAGCACCAACACATACACAGCACCCACACACACATACACAGCACCCACAGACATACACAGCACCCACAGACATACACAGCACCCACATACACAGCACACACACACACACATACACAGCACCCACAGACATACACAGCACCCACATACACAGCACACACACACACACACACACACAGCACCCACACACACAGCACCCTCACACACAGCACACAAACAGCACCCTAACACACACAGAACTCTAACAGTACCCTCACAAACACAAACAGGACCCTAACAAACACACACAGCACACAACCAGTACCCTCACACACAAACAGCACCCTCACACACAGTACATTAACAGCACCCTCACAAGCGCGCACACACACACAACCAGCACCCTCACACACAGTACATTAACAGCACCCTCACAAGCGCGCGCACACACACACACCCTCACCCACATAGCACACTACCAGCACCGTCACACACACATCACACTAACAGCACCCTCACACACACACAGCAGTGTGTGTATATATGTGTGTGTGTGTGTGTATATGTGTGTGTGTGTGTGTATGTATATATATATATATATAATATGGCGTGTGCTTGTGCTTTAGGGTGCACACCCTATTGCAATAGGCTGCGCACGCCTATGCCAGTCACCCCCTCCCTCAGTCACCCAGTCACTCCCTCCCTCAGTCACTCTGTCACTCCCTCCCTAAGTCACTCTGTTACCCCCTCCCTCAGTCACCCTGTCACCCTCTCCCTCAGTCACCAGTCACCCCCCCTCAGTCAATCTGTCACCAGTCACCCCCTCCCTCAGTCACCCTGTCACCCCCTCCCTCAGTCACACTGACACCCCCTCACTCAGTCACCCTGTCACCCCCTCCCTCAGTCACTCTGTCACTAACCACCCCCTCACTCTGCGACCTGTCATCCCCTCGCTCTGCCACCTGTCATCCCCTCGCTCTGCCACCTGTCATTCCCTCACTCACTCTGCCACCTGTCACTCCCTCCTTCCCTCACTCTGCCACCTGTCACTCCCTCTTTCTCTCACTCTGCTACCTGTCACTCCCTCCCACGCTCTGTCAGACCCTCCCTCCTACGCTCTGCCACCTGTCCCCGCCTCACTCTGCCATCCCTATCCCACAGCACACTATGTGCCTTACAATGCCCTACACACACTACATCCCTATCCCACCTCACACTATGTTCCCTACACCAGGTCTGTCTCCTAAATTACTATCAATAAAGATTTGTATCAGGACAAGTAGATTGTCACGGCAGACAAGTAGATTGGGCAAACACTTTAGTCCCTGGACAAGTAGTTGTTTTTAAAATTTCAACACCCCTGCCCTCTCTGCCATATACACCCCCGCCTTGTCATAATACCCTCCCTGCCATATAACCCCTGCCTTGTCATAATACCCTCCCTGCTATAAACCCACTACCTGGTCATAATTCCCACCCTGGCATATACCCCTTTAACATGTCATATAATACCCACACTGCCATAATACCCTCCCTGCTATATACCTCCACCTTATCCTAATAGACACCCTGCCATACACCCCCGCCTTGACATAATATCCTCTCTTCCATATAACACCCAATCCCATTGTTTCCACCTGTGACATAAAACACTGTATACTCACCACCTCACCTGCAGTCACCTCCTTCAATCCACTGTGTGCAATGGCACACACTGTCATAGTATCCACCACACTGTCCCACCCTGCCATATACCTTTCTCCTGCTAGTAATACTCAGCCACTTACATATACCTCCACGTTGTCACATTCCCCCAGACAGATAGGACAGATATATATTGGGAGGCAGTGAGATTAAACATTTTTATTGACCATATAGGCGTTTGTGTACGCCCTGCAGTAAGCCAGCAGCGGGGATATGACGTCATCCTGGCATCGGCATCACTACTGGTCGTGCAAGTGAGCTGTGCAGGAAGAGCACAGAGATCCCAGCCCAGCAGCAACCGCTAGTCACTCCCAGGGTAAGGTAGAGAGGTTGGTTGGACCTCTTAATAACTAAATGCGTGTGTATATCTGTGGTTTTGTATGTGTTTAGTAGATAGCTCTCTAATTTGGTGTCCTTAAATATGTCAATCCCACATAAGCATAACAAATAAGTGAGTTATCTACTAAACAACCTAAAGATTAAAATTAAGAAAAAGGCTTTTTAAATTTTGATCTTTTAGCTGTTTAGTAGAGAATTCCCTAAATTGGTGCCCTTATGTGAGATTCCATGTAAAGATACCAAATTAGGGTGCTGTTTAGCAGATAGCTCCCTCTTAATAACTAAATGCGTGTGTATATCTGTGGTTTTGTATGTGTTTAGTAGATAGCTCTCTAATTTGGTGTCCTTAAATATGTCAATCCCACATAAGGATAATAAATAAGTGAGTTATCTACTAAACAACCTAAAGATTAAAATTAAGAAAAAGGCTTTTTAAATTTTGATCTTTTAGCTGTTTAGTAGAGAATTCCCTAAATTGGTGCCCTTATGTGAGATTCCATGTAAAGATACCAAATTAGGGTGCTGTTTAGCAGATAGCTCCCTTATTTGGTGTCCTTAAATCTAGCAATCCCACTTAAGGATAAGAAATAGGGGAGTTATCCGCTAAACAAAGATCAAAGTTAAGAGGTGTCAGCCATCCCAAAAATCTAAGTGGCTAATGTGAATTCTATGTAAATGTGTTGTCTGATGCCAGCATGCACAACATGCTGTCGTCAGACAGCCAATGGCAGCACATTACCCCATTACCTAGTGAAAATTATTAATGCTCCTAGCCCCCACTGTTTATGTGCCTCCCCTATATGTTGTTCCTAGAGTCACCACTGCTTCAGGGGCCCAGTTGTGCGCTGTGGTGCTTTAATGGTGCGACCAGGCTTCTGAAATAATATAATGGCAGCCCTGGGGGAAGTGAAATTCAGTCACTTCCTCCCAGCTAACACTGAAACAACGCAGGATGGAGGGCGGCACTGATTGGGAGAGAACTAGAGCCCAACTCCCAACAGCCTCAGCCAGCAGGTACTAAACAGGAGGATGGCATTGTGTATCTGTATGTGTGTCTGTGTAGTTGCATGTGTGTAAATGTGTGTCTCTGTATCTGTTTGTGACTGTGTGTCTGTATCTGCATGTGTGTCAGTGTGTATATATCTGCATACATCTCAGCATCTTGCCAACACTACACACAAAAGCATGCCTGTATTAAAATGCCAACACTACATACAAACACACCCCTACATTCACTCACACTTACTCCATACAAAAGCATGCTTACATTGAAACACGCAAGCACTGCTCAATGCTACATACATTAAAAAAATTGTGGGTGTTTACATTTTAAAGTGCAGGGGGGAGAGAGGGGTGCCAAAACTAGGACCTGCCCCGGGTGCCATATGCTTTAGGTACGCCCCTGATCCCAGGGTATGTCAAAAGGCATATTTTGAAGCTTGGCGTGGGATAGTTTTTCCGCTAGCTTGTGCCACGTGTAGTGGTAATAAGTGTTTTTTCTGCCTTTTTGACACACAAAGTGAGTTTGCACGATATATTTTGCAAACCTTATGTGTGCTACGACTGTATAATACTACATATGTTGCTCAGCTATGTCTTCTGAGTACAGCAATACCCCCGTATGTACCTTTGGCAGGTATATGTGGATGTTGAAGGGGCACATTTGAGATGCAGCCATTAAGTTTGTTTTTTCTAACTTGGAAGTTTTACGCTGTGTCCATGTTCCATTTTGGAGTAGTTTAGCTGGTTGGTTATTCAAAAATCCCCACAAAATCCCCACAAACACACACTCTTTATTAAAGAATACACCCTGGGTTAATTCAAAAGGCATATTTTGAACCTTAGCATGGGATCATTTTTTCTCTAGTTTTTAAACTTCTTTAAAAAAACGTTATTAAAACTTTTTTTTCAACTTTTTTTTACTGTTAACTCCTAGCTAGCCCAACACCAAATTCCTCAATTCCCCACTAACTTCCACCCACCACAACTAGCTAAATATATCATTTTTATATATTTAAATTAATTTTAAAAATAAAATTAACCCCTAAAGGATACAAAAAATAAAAGTTGACCCTCAGGGGTTTAAAAAAAAAAAAATTAGATCACAGCAGTGGCGGATCCAGGGGGGGGGCAACGGGGCAATTGCCCCCCCCGAGAAATCCGACGGTCTCCCTCTTCCTCCCCTGCCAGCCCTGCAATGTGCCTGCGGACCGGAGGGGAGATCACAGATCTTCTTCCCCGGTCCGCAGGCACCGTGCTGGCGGCCAGTGGGGGAGGGAGGGAGTGAGAGAGAGGACCCAGGAGCTCAGTATGCAGCTCCTCCGGGTCCTTCTCTCGCGAGATTTGGAGCGTTGCCGCGGTTACCACGGCAACGCTCCAAATCTTGCGAGAGTGAACTCTAGCCCGGGAGCGCGGGCTAGAGTTCACTCTCACCACCTGACCACCAATGAATCCCCCACCGGACCACCAGGGAAATGCCCCCCCTCCTCCCAGTAAAGGTAAGAAGGGAGGGGGGGCATAGAATATATATTTATTTTTTTAAATTAAATTAAAAAATATTATATTATTAAAAAAAAGCCACCCTACCCTGATCACACACACACATACATTGCCCCCAATACTGCCCCCCCATTCACACAAACTGCCCCCCCATTCACACACAAACTGCCCCCATTCACACACAAACTGCCCCCCTATACACACAAACTGCCCCCTATACACACACAACCCCCCATTCACACAAACTGCCCCCATTCACACAAGCCCCCATTCACACACACACAACTGCCCCTATACACACACAAACTGCCCCCTATACACACAACTGCCCCCATTCACACAAACTGCCCCCATACACACAAACTGCCCCCATACACACAACTGCCCCCATTCACACAAACTGCCCCCATTCACACAAACTGCCCTATACACACAAACTGCCCCATTTTACACAAACTTTCTCCCCATTCACACAAACTGCCCCATACACACAAACTGCCCCCATACACACAAACTTCCCCCATACACACACACACACTGCCCCCCATACACACACACACACTGCCCCCATACACACAAACTGCCCCCCATACACACAACACTGCCCCCCATTCACACAAACTTCCCCCATTCACACAAACTGCCCCCTATACACACAAACTGCCCCCCATACACACACACACACTGCCCCATACACAAACCCCCCCCATTCACACACAAACTGCCCCCATGCCCCCCATTGCCCCCATTCACACACAAACTGCCCCCATTCACACACAAACCTGCCCCATTCACACAAACTGCCCCTATACACACAAACTGCCCCCATTCACACAAACTGCCCCATTCACACAAACTACACAAACATACACACACACACTGCCCCCATACACACACACACTACACACACACTGCCCCCATACACACACACTGCCCCCCATACACACACAAACTTCCCCACATACACACAAACTGCCCCCACATACACACACTGCTCCCCCATACACACATACTGCCCGCCATACACACACACTGCAATACTCACACACACTGCAACCGTTACACACACTGCATCCCTGACAAACACTGCCGCCCTCACTCACACACTACAACCTTCACACACGCACACACTGCACCACTCACACACACCACTGCTCCTATACCCTACTACAGCCCCATTTCCCAGCAGATCTCGGGTAAGTTGTCAAACTGTTCTTAAACGGTTTGACTACTTACTGTGGGAGGGGGTCCCGGCACTATTGACACCATAACCACTACACTGAGCTGTAGTGGTTATTGTGTCTGGATTATTTCTTTAAATAATCTACAAGTGCCCCTCCCGAGATCAGGCTCTGGATCCGCCACTGGATCACAGTAAACTGTAGTTCCTGCCAATTGATCACTGTATTTTATTATTAAAGCAGGGGAAAAGGGGGGGTTGGATTTTACTTTAAGTTTATTCATTTTTTTACATAGGGAGAAGATCAGCAGTGATCCGTCTCCCTGCACTTCACACTGATCGAGGAAGAGCAGGGAGGTGGATCGTCAGAACGATCACTGCTGCAGGGACAGCGCGATCGGGTGCTCGAATACAGAGGCAGACCAGAGGAGGGCTAACCCCACGGTCTGGGGTTAACTTTACCGCATGACGGACCTGGTCCATCATCCGGCATTAACTGCTTCCCTGGCATGACGGACCTGGTCCGTCATCCGGCGGTAAGGGGTTAAATAAAAATCACTGGTTCTGGCAATCAGCCAGACTGTTAACAGAGATGGCAACATATGTATCTAATTGTTGCTTCTACTGATAAATAACAAATTGGCATAAGTATATAAACAATCAGAGGTAGTGTCCAGAATTATGGACAGCTAATTATATTAAAGTGATAGGGAAAAAGAAGCTAGTAGTCCAAATAGTATTAATCCAAATGATAGAAAGCTGTCTAATGGAGCTGCTAGAGATCAGGTAAGTGTCCTAGGCTGTGCCTTTATGGGCACTTAATCTTCTATCAAAACTAAACTCCTTGTTTCTATACAGCAAATATCTCGAGCTGTATGTTTGAAGGTAAGTATCCTATTCTGTGCCTTCATGGGCACCTATCGTCTTGATTAAGATAAGTTCCTCGAGAGGAGACAGCTCCTATCTGGATTGCAAGATATCATTGCAGGAGTTCGAGAACTCAAATTTTGGGAACAAGCCCCGACGCATGTTTCACCAGGCAGGCTCTTCACTCCTGCCTGGCGAAACGCGCATCGGGGCTTGGCTCATGAAGCTACTTATGCTGCAATGATATCTTACCTTGCTATCGGCACATTCAAGCTTAACATTTATTCCATATATTCTTGTGAAGCCACAGGTATACTGAGCCGACACTTATAGAAAATCAATCCAGATTGTGGGCAAGTCTCGAATTTGTTAAAATAAGTCAAAGAACTACACTCGTATTATGTTGGAACCCTCCCAAGGTGCCTCACATACCAAGGTGGCAACATAACTCAAATTCAGAGTACAAAATAAACAGTCTGGGCACGCAATGGCTAATCTAACGTAGATGTTATTGGACACATAAAAGGTCCACGGGATCTAGAGTGCCCAGACATCAGTTTATTTTGTACTCTGGACTATCAGATCCAGACAGACAAATGAGTACTGGCCAACTAACTTAAAAATTGTGGTGGTAGAAAAGAAACAGAAGACTGCATGTGTGATGGATGTGGCAATACCTAGTGACCTTAAGAAGAAGGAACATTAGAAGGTGAACAAATACCAAGGACTGAAAAAGGGAGCTAGAAATAATGTGGATAGTGAAGGCAGCAATAGTCACAGTTGTGATAGAAGCACTTGGGGCTGTAACCCCCTTTTTGGAAGAGTAGTTTAAGTAGATTCCAGGTGGGATATCTGAGATCTCCGTTCAGAATAGTGCAGTTTTACAAACAGCTAAAATACTGTGCAGAACTCTCAAAAAACAAGGCCTCTAAATAGCAAGGATACACAAAAAAACAAAAACAAAAAAACATGGATGGGTTAGAAAGTCAGTTTTTATGTTTATTTAAACTTTTTATTTCTTTTTGTATATACGCCCTGTATTTGCAACATCCATAGACAACCACAAGGTGTCAATATTGTCTAAAGTCACTTGAATATTGCTTTGCTTGTCATAGTGACCACAAGATGCCAGTTTAATACTCAGCACACTGACACAGAATATAGCTTGCTGTATGCAGAGTGTCCTGCGTGTGTCACTCTCACTCTGTACACCAGCAAAATAGTCAAACATTTATTTGGACTCCTACTTTGGGGCTACATTCTCCAAGTGTCTCTGATATAATCGTGAAAGAATATGTATAAGTTCTGTTACAGATGGTTTGAAATACTTCAGCACCTTGGCTGTAAGGAGAACTCGCTAATCAGAATATATTAATAGGAGAAGCCAAAGTAAATAAGGAGGAAATAAGTACGAAAACAAGCGAAGGGGGAAACAAAGGAAAAAGGGTAGTGTCGAGAAAACATACAATGTGGAGAGAGGGAGTGTAGAAAAGAGAGATTGGTGAGAAAGACTGTTTAAAGGGTTAAATAACCAGCCAGTGATACAGTAAAGGAGACGAAAAGCTTAGGGGGAGAAATAAAAAAAAACAACAAAAAACTGGAAGGTCCAAAAAAGGAGAAAAAATAAATATGCGACAGAGGGAAAAATAAGTAGAAGCGAGGAAGCGGAATGGTGGGAGAGGGGACTAGGAGAGGTTAAAGCCACATTTAGCCACATTTTTTTAATCCTGAGATGGAATGTTCTCACAGTAGAGTCCATGAGGGAAAAAGCCAAGTTTAGATGGACAGATAAGCAGATTGGCCAAGGCCCAAAGGCATCTAACCTCTCCCCTACAGAGCCTCGATCAACTCCTTCCCTGCCAGAGGCACATTACTACTTTAGAAAAGACAATGAGATTTAATGATTGACCAGTTCAACTGTAATCTGGGAGGTCCCATTCTCAAAACATGAGGGAAACTGGTGGAATAATAACAAATAGACATGCCAATGTGAAAACTTACTGTACATACCATAGCATGAAACATGGTGTAGTTTTAATTGATTAAAGTTTAGGATGTCCTACTGTTAGGGGAAGGGACTTGTGTTCTTTGGCGTTAAACAGGGAGGACTTGTCAGGCATGAAAAGACACCCTTTCCCTCAGACAGCAACACTTAAATAAGGGACAGGGAATTTAGCATACAAACACTGTGAGGGAGGGGGGGGGGGGAAAATGGCAGAGATTTATGAACACCAAGAAATATAATTTGTATCTGCCTGTTACAATTGCCAACATAATTATTTGTGGTAGAACAAGAAGCGACAAGGGTCTCATAGCCATCGCCTAGAATTGTTGCAGTATATTTTTTGGAGACTTTTCTGGTGACAATTCTGATGCTGGCTGCGGTCCCAAAATGTCCTCTTATAATCCCATGGTTCTCGTTATAATACTAAGACAGAAGATGCTGTGACTATTCAGTTACAATACACACACGTTCTGACATTAAAATTTACACTGTCCTACCAACCCATCTGTATGTTATATAAATCAAATACCCAAGGGTGCGTTTATACCATTGTTAATAATGGCGGCAAATTTTAATTTAGTTTTAGTTATAGTCTTTTGACTAAAAAGCCATTTTTTTATCATTATTATTGCCATTTATATAGCGCCAACAGATTTCGTAGCGCTTTACAATATCATGAGAGGGGGGATTTAACTACAGATAGGACAATTACAAGAAAACCTACAGGAACGATATGTCGAGGAGGACCCTGCTCAAACGAGCTTACAGTCTATAGGAGGTGGGGTGTAAAACACATTAGGACAGGAAATAGCAATTAAATAAAGTGGAAGTGAAGCAGAGCTGGAGGAGAGAGTAGAGTGCTGCCCTTTAGGAGAGAGCAAGAGACCGGCATGTGAGGTAGAGGTTACTGTGGGAGGCCATAAGCTTTCCTAAAGAGATGGTTTTAAGGCTTCTTAAACGATTGAAGACTAGGGGAGAGTCTGATGGCGGTAGGCAGGCTATTCCATAGGAAGGGAGCCGCCCACGAGAAGTACTGCAAGTGTGAGTTGGCCGTAAGGGTGCGAGCAGTGGACAGGAGAAGGTCATGGGCAGAGCGGAGAGACTGAGAATTGTTCAGTGCTTTATGGGTATGGGTTAGCACTTTGAAGTGACTCCTATAGGATACAGGAAGCCAATGTAAGGACTGACAGAGGGGTGAGGTGTGAAAGGACCGACTAGAGCGGAAAATCAGTCTGGCGGCAGCATTCATTACAGACTGTAATGGGGCAATACTACTTTTGGGAAAACAAATTAGGAGAGGGTTACAATAATCCATGCGGGAAATTACTAGAGCATGGACAAGCTCCTTGGTAGCATCTTGCATAAGAAAGGGGCAGATGCGGGCTATGTTTTTAAGATGGAATCTACAGGATTTGGCAACATCCTGGATGTGAGGCTCAAAGGTGAGGCCAGAATCAAGTATGACGCCAAGACAGCGCGCTTGCAAGAATGGACTGATGTGGATACCACTAACTTGAAAGGAGAGCGAAAGAAGAGGATCAGTATTAGGAGGAGGAAAGACAAGGAGCTCAGTTTTAGAGAGCTTGAGTTTCAGAAAGCGGGAGGACATCCAGCCAGAGATGGAAGAAAGGCAAGCAGTGACACGTTGCAAGACAGCAGGGGAGAGGTCTGGGGAGGAGAGATATATCTGGGTGTCATCAACGTACAGGTGGTAGTGGAATCCAAATGAGGTAATAGGTTTGCCAAGAGAGGCAGTATAAAGAGAAAATAGAAGGGGACCAAGGACAGAGCCTTGGGGGACTCCAACCAAGACAGGACGAGGGGAGGAGGTGAGAAAGGGAGACACTGTATGAGCGTTGGGAAAGATAAGAGAAAAACCATGAGAGGATGGAGTCACAGAGAACGAGTGATTTAAGAGTTTGAAGAAGGAGAGCATGATCAATGGTGTCAAAGGCAGCAGAGAGGTCAAGAAGAATTAGTATGGAGTAGTGGCCTTTGGATTTAGCTGCGATTGGGTCGTTAGTAACTTTGATAAGAGCAGTCTCAGTAGAGTGGAGAGAGCGGAAGCCAGATTGAAGAGGGTCAAGGACAGAGTTGGAATTGAGGAAGTGAGACATATGGGTAAAGACAAGTCTTTCCATAAGTTTTAGTCGTATTTTAGTCATCTGAATTGATTTAGTTTTAGTCACAACAAAATCTGGTGGCAATGGGATACGGCGTTGCTGTGGCAGCAAAAAAGCTCTATGAGCTCATATTACCAAGAGGTAAACTACAAACTGCTCTCCCTATGGTACAGAACACCATCCCTGTTACACCAGATCTTCCCATCAATCACTCCGACATGCTGGAGATGCCAGGCAGAACTCGGCACACTGATACATATATGGTGGGAATGCAGGGACATTAACCCATACTGGGTAATGATTAATGACACTGTGACTGACATCCTAGGAGACATACCGGAATGGAACGCGGAACTAGCCCTGCTGCACATCTCGACACAATCGATCCGGAGGTATAAAAGATCTAAATTGCGTCACCTGCTAAACGCGGCCAAAACCAACATTCTGGCACATTGGAAAAAACGTGACATACCAACTAAGAAAGAATGGATTCGCAGAATGGAAGACATCCATGGAGCAGAAGAAATACACGCCTCCCTAACGGGACTTGCAACAAAACACACGGAGGTGTGGCTCCCATGGTTTCTATACATCACTCGTTATAGGCAAGCAGAGGATGCTCCCGAACCCATCGACGGGGCGACAGCAGGCGCGGAACCCACCAGACACAACCCACCCCCCTCCTTACACCCCCCCCTGTAAGCCTAAATTCCTCCCCCCTTTCCACCCAACTCTCTCATCAAGGAACCGACTTATTCTGGGGCCCGGGGGGTAGGGGGCGAGAATAGGGAGATATACCACCACACAAAAGATACACTAACCTCTGAAAAAACAAAAGGATAAACACCCAGCCTTGAGGTGATTTGAGAAGCAGTCGACCCTCAGGAAACACGAGTCACACCTTGTTACACATACCATCACCAAAAAGTGTAGACGGAGGGGACAACGCACATATAAAGCAAAGGGCCTGGCACCACCTAGACCTACACCAAACTCCCCTTACGATGTTACTGATACACACATCAATAACGCAGTGAGGAAAACACGTATGGGAACCCACGCGAACCACAGGCTCTGCCACAAGGATTGATGACAATACCCATAGCCAAGCATGTCAGTGAAATAGAGACAGGGGCATTTTCCACACAAACTATTAACCAACACACAGCAACTATTCATCACGCTCATAGTATAGACAAGCGGGTGAACCCCTGCTAAGTATAATACCAGGAATGAACATGATCCAATGTTCACCACCACACCCGCTCGGCAACGCATACCTAACAATGCTAACTTGGACCTACGAGCCAGAATTAAACCAGCCGCCTTACCGGTAAACATTTAGATATCCCCTCAACCTGTACACACAGCATATTGTTGAATCGTATAAATATTTTGTTTGCAGAGACCTGCGAGTCTCAATGTTTTGTTTTTTTTTGAAAATCTGTTCATTGAGGAGTATGCATATTCATCAATAGTAACAAAGCAAGACACGCAGGTCTAGGTATGTAAGTAAAACAATACAAACCGAGCATAAGTATGTTATAACTAAGTTGTCGCTATCAAATTGGTCGCGATAGAGATTATACTTATCAATAGGGTAACTAGACCCATCCGTCCGTTAGTTTAGTTTCAGCAGGGTATTATAAATAAACATGGGTAACCTTATATACCAAACTACACCTCTTGTTATATTCGTGGTTGGTGAGTAATGCACATAGAAGGAGTATGTCTGGAGTTACATCTGCCGTTGCATACATTTCCCGATATATGAAGTTGTTGTAGAAAACGCCCATATATACTTCCCATCTCATAGGTGAGGTATTTGTTATGAAGCCGGTTAGCATTAATGATACCTGCGCCTAACTCTAAGTACGGTGAATGTAGCAACATGCTACTTGATGGATACCCCGAACACTAGGCCAACGTGGGAGTCGGAACAAGCATCCAACCTGGGCCCCGCACCTGACACATCGATTTTCCCCTCGACCGTGACTCTAGGCTGAGCTCCTACGGCGACCATGTATCCCTGTATCTGAGGGAAGGCGCTTGGGACTTCCCCCTCCTGTGTATCATGAGAGAAGTGTCCAAGTGCTGTGTGATGAGGGTGCTACCCCTGTGCAAGGATGAAATGAGTCATGTGTCTGTCTGGTCTGGGGTGTTCGTCATGTGAGGCATAGTCCCGCTACTCGTCGGATGTCCATCTCACCTGATATCCAGGTGCCTCATATCTACATTGAAATGCCCTTAGTCATGTTATATCAGCTGGTGTAAGGTCCAGTTCTCCCTGTTACTCTCCCGGTGTAATGTGTTATTTGTTGTCCCACAGTGAACTCCTAGTAGACCCCTCCGGCTCCGAGCCCGGGCACCCACCCGCCGACGAGAGGAATAAGGGAATGGGCGAGTCTCAATGTTACACTCAGACACCCTACGCAACTAACAAAACTACGCTTTGAGAAAAAAAACACAACAATGCAAAAACAAAACAAAGCAATTTAAAAAAAACAAAAAAAAAACAGCAGCTTTAATGTTTGAAACACCGTATAGCAGGGGTGTCAAACATGCGGCCCCCCAGATGTTGCTGAACTACAACTCCCATGATTCTTTCAATGAAACAGATAGCCAGGAAATCATGGGAGTTGTAGTTCAGCAACATCTGGGGGGCTGCATGTTTGACACCCCTGCCGTATAGGGTCAATGGTTTTGACCTGTAATATATCAGGTTTATTGTACAATGGTAAAATATTGTAATGTCGTAATGCTGTAACCTTATCCTATTGCTTAATAAAGAGATTTACAAAAAACAAAACAAAATCAGATGGGTATATTTAAAGCCTCTATCTGTCTCTTTTTCCCCTTTACCCAGCCCCTCTGAGTCTCTTTGTGTCCCCTTAGCCCCTCTGGGTGTCTCTCTCCCAAGCCTAGGTCTGTATCTTTTGCCCCTTCCCCAGTCCCTCTGTGGCTCTTTCTCTCTATAGCCCCATTTGTGTGTCTCTTCTGCCCAGCATCTTGTTTCTTTCTCCCCCCACCCCCTCTGTGTTGCTTTGTGTGTGTCCCCTGCCCCTGCATGCATCTTGTCTCCCCTCTTGTCTCATTCTCCACATGCACATCCATGTGCTCATTACCCCCCAGTCCCTCCATGTGTTTCATTCCCCCACAACTCCTTTTGTCTCATTCCGTCATCCCCTCATGTGTCTCATTTCCTCTCCTCCCTCCCCCATGTGTCAGTTTTAATTTTGGTGGCAAATTTTAATTTAGATTAAGTCAAAAAGCCATTTCAGTTTTAGCTGTATTTTAGTCATCTGAATTGTTTTATTTTTAGTCTAGTTTTAGTCTACTAAAACCTTTAAAGCTTAGTAAATAAAACCACATGAGATAGCAGTGGAATATATCTTCACAGGCATAGGCACATAGACACTACTCAAATACAATCATGTTTACTTACTAAATAAATAAATATATGCCCACACGTTAATTTAATATGCAAAGAGCTATTATTCATGTACTCTGTATTGCATTAAAGCATGCATAAAACGCAGGCATGTAACCCACTGGCCCTTGTTTTTCTATATTAAACAGTAACATCAATCTGTGTATGTTTCACTTATGCTCCCTTTCTTAGTTCCTGAGAGAACAGACAGATATAGCTTGAGAAGATGGGAAAGTTTTAAATCCCACGAATAGAACACCACTCCTTAGAAGAGCTGGACGTACACCTCATGAAGGAGAGGGGAAGAGAGGAGCAAAATGGCAAATAGAGATATAACTACAGGAAATTAGATAAAAAAATACTGTGGAGAGATGTGTTATATTAATAAGATTTTATAGGGATAACAAGGGAGCTGGGTTACCATAATAAGATGTTTGGTAATAAGGCACTCAGGAGCTGGGTTACTATAATAAGATGTTTATAAGTAATAGGCGATCAGGAGTTCAGATATTGTAATTAGGTGTTACAGGGGTAATAAGTCAGGAGCCATGTTATTGTAATAAGATATTATGAAGTAAATAAAACGCTCAGGACCTCAGATACTGTAAAAGGATGTTAGAGGTGTAATAAAGTATTCAGGAGCTAGGTCACTACACCCTGTTCTAAATTATTATGCAAATTATATTTTTCTAATTTACCTAAATAATTGATGTAAATAACAGTCGGCATAATTCTCATGTTATCAACTATTAAGAGTACAATTCAAATTTTATTGAACAAACCTCCTAATGATAACATTATTTTTTTAAAACAGAAAAAACTTACAATGCACTGTTCCATATTATTACGCATAGTAAGTTTCAAAACACTTTATAGGTTGTAAAGAACTGAAAATTGTCAACAACATTTTAACTTTTTAAACATTTTAACAGGTCATGTTACATTTTAACATAGGACCCCTTATTTGATGGCAGTTTCACAAGTCTTGCATCCATTGAATTTGTGAGTTTTTGGACAGTTTCTGTTTGAATTTGTTTGCAAGATGTCAGAATAGCCTCCCAGAGCTGCTGTTTGGATGTAAACTGACTCCCACCCTCATAGATCTTTTGCTGGAGGATGCTCCAAAGGTTCTCAATAGGATTGAGGTCAGGGGAGGATGGAGGCCACATGACTTTCTCTCCTTTTATCCCCATAGCAGCCATTGATGCAGAGGTATTCTTTGCAGCATGAGATGGTGCATTGTCATGCATGAAGATGATTTTAATACGGAAAGCATAGTTCTTCCTTCTGTACCAGGGAAAAAAGTAGTCAGTCAGAAACTCCACATACTTTGCAGAGGTCATCTTTAAACCTTCGGGGACCCTAAAGGGGCCGACCAGCTGTCTTCCCATGATTCTGGCCCAAAACATGACTCCACCACCGACTTGCTGACGTCGCAGCCTTGTTGGAACAGGGTGGCCGTCCACCAACCATCCACTACTCCATCCATCTGGACCATCCAGGGTTGCACGGCACTCATCAGTGAACAGGACTGTTTGAAAATTAGTCTTCATGTATTTTTCTGCCCAATGCAGCCATTTCTGCTTGTGAGCATTGGTTAGTGGTGGCCGAATAGAAGGTTTATGCACAGTTGCAAGACTCTGGAGGACTCTACACCTTGATGTCCGTGGGACTCCAGAGGCATCGGTAGGTTCAAATATCTGTTTGCTGCTATGTAATGGTATTTTAGCAGCTGCTCTCTAGATCCAATGCATGGATCTGGCAGAAATCTTCCTCAATGTGCCTTTATCTGCACAAACCCGTCTGTGCTCTGAATCAGCCACATTTCTCTTAATAGTGCGATGATCACTCTTACGTTTTCGTGAAATATCTAATGTTTTCATACCTCGTCCAAGGCATTAAACTATTTCACTCTTTTCGGCAGCAGAGAGATCCTTTTTTTCCCCATATTGCATGAAAATTGTGCGCTGCTTAATAATGTGGAACACCCTCCTTTAGTAGTTTTTCCTTAAATTGGGCTCACCTGGCAATCTAATTATCAAAGTTGTCTGAGATTGTTTTCAGTGATCAAAAGAGCCCTGAGACACAATGCCATCCATGAGTTAAACTGAAAAACAAAATACTTAATCTTTGTGACACTTAAATAGAATTTGCATAATAATTTGTAACAGGGTGTATAATAAGATGTTATAGGGGTAATAATGCACTCAGGAACTGGGTTACTGTAAACCGATATTACATGGGTTATAACGCACTCAGGCGCTATGTTACTGCAAGATTATGCTATAGGAGTAATAAGGCAATCAGGAACTGGGTTACTGTAAAAAGATATTACATGGGTTATAACACACCCCGGAGCTATGTTACTGCAAGATGATGTTACAGGGGTAATAAGGAACTCAGTGAATGAGCTACTCTAATAAGGTATTACTGGAGTTAGATGGTACTTATTAGTACTGGTTAAGTGTATTAAAATGTTACAGGGGCAATAAAGTGCTTAGATGCTTGATTACTGTATTATGATATTACAGGTTAAAGGGTTACTCCAACCAAGAAAAAAAGGTTTATTAAAACTTTCATGACATGGTTCCTCTCTCCATAAAGGAAAAGATTGAAATTAAAATAATAAACTAGAACTCAAATTCAGTCCAGTGGCAAGGCCAAGTTCTCCCTCCAGGTCATTCTTCCTCCTGTTTTAGCTTCTAAACGTTTGCTTTTAGAAGTGGTCATGGTGGTAGGAGTCTGGATGTACAGTGTTTCAGTTTGAAACACTGCACATCTAGAGATATTTTTAATTGTATGCTGTGGGCAAGTTACAGCCCCTGCACACATGACCCTGTTTGAGACTGCCTTATGTCAATTCTGTGCAAAAACATGTGTTATCAGACAGGGCTGGCGCTTCCTACAAGGCTCCATTAGGAGGGGGCGCCCTTTGCCCTCATCGATGGCCCCTCTCATGCTGCAGCCGCCTGAGCGCTCTATAGAGGGCGCTCTATTAGGGCGCACCGGCCCAGGGGTGCAAGAAACGAAGGATCGACAGGAGGGAAACGCACAGCGCACCTTCCTGTCAGTCCCTCAGTGTAACATGGCCGAGCTCCTCTCCAGTCTGCGATACAGGAATATCCGTTTTCTGTACCCGGTCGAACTGATAGGAAGTGCTCACTCAGAGAAGAGACCACGAAGGGAGGGTGGGGGGAGAGGAGAGACCACTAATGAAGTGTGGGGAGGGAGGAGAGACAACAAAAGGGGAGAGGAGCCACCAAGGGGAAGAGGGGAGAGACCACTAATGGAAAGTGGAGGAGGAGAGCAGAGACCACTAAGGGGGAGACAAGAGACCACTAATGGAAAGGGAGGGAGAAGAGGAGAGACCACTAAGGGAGGGGGGAGGAGAGTAGAGACAACTAAGGGACAGGGGAGGAGAGGAGAGACTACTAAGGGGCAGGGGAGCGCTCTAATGGACGGAAGGGAGAGGTCTATAGGATGGGGGGAACACCAAGAGATGGGGGGGATAGGAGAGAGCACTAGGAGACAGGACGGGAGAGCTCTAAGGGACGAGAGGAGAGCTCTAAAAGACAGGAGGGGAGAGAACTACAGGAAAGGGGGCAGGGAAATCACTAAGGGACAGTGGGGCAGGGGAGAGCACTAAGGGACAGGAGGGGAGAGAGGCTGGGGAAGGGGGGAAAGAGAAGCACAAAGGGGCTGGTAGGACTCAGCCCCTATTCTACCCCAACAACTCTCTCTTTCACACTATGCACACACGCACACAATGCACCCTATACATACACAGAAACACAGAATGCATCCCTACACACACAGAAACACAACATGCTTCCCTTACACACAGAGAAACAGACAATGCATCCATTACACACACACACACACACACACACAATGCAACCCTTAAACACAAAGACAAGGCATCATTTGCACACATACACAGAAACACACAATGCATCCCTTACACACATGCAAACACACACTGCTTCTCTTACACACACACACAAACACAATGCATCTCTTACACACATTGCATCCCTTACATACACAGAAACACACCTTGCATCCCTTATGCATACAAACACAGATTCACACAATGTATCCCTTACACACAACCAGAAACACACACTGCTTCCACTATACACACACACTGCATCACCTACACATAACACATCCCCTACACACTCCAGTCCCTGTGAGCGAACTCATAAGTGGAACATATAGGTGGACTTATGGGTAGGCCTTATGGGCATACTCACCATCAGGCCCTGGGGCCTAGACCTTGAGCTGTGTAAGGGGCATAAAAAATGGAGCTGCTTCCCGTTCTCCCAGAACATTGAATTTTGTGACCACAGTTACAAATAGCCGCCAGAGAGCCTGTTCTACACCAGACCAGTGGAGCCAAACTGCAGCCAGAGCCCATCATCATCCTCATCTGGTTGTAAGTAGGCAATCTAGTATATTATTAGTGACATTAAGCTCTAATTTACCTCACATTAAAGGGACACTATAGTCCCCAGAACCACTGCAGCTTAATGAAGTGGTTCTGGTGTCTATAGTCTGTCTCTGCATGCCTTATAATGTAAACAAACTGTGTGCAACACTGGCGTTAGTTCATATGGCAGATCATATGGGTGGGGCATTGTGATGTTACATGGGGGGGAGTGGGGGCGGCAAATTTTTCTTTTGCCTAGGGCGGCAAAAATCCTTGCACCGGCTCTGGATGTAGAGGTCTGCTCACTTGCAGGCAGAACCTACTAGAGGAATCATGTCTATCCCCTTGCTTCTTTCATTCAGCCCTCCATATATTTCCATTACTCCTTCAGGGTTTTTTTTTTTGTCTATGAGAAGCATCTGATAGGACCGCGCAAGGGAGGCTACGATGTCGGATGGGGTGTGAAAAACAGCGCATGGAGCTTTGCTGGTACGTTTATTGTTTATTTTATAGTGTTATAATGGGGAAACACCTTATTGCTAATGCCCAATTAAAATAAAGTTTTGATAAAAAATGATTGGTTTGAGCCTTTAATATGGTACTTGGCAGCTGGGTTACTATAAAAAGACATTACAGTGTAATAAGGCAGTCAAGAACTGGGTTACAATAAGATGTTACAGGTAATGGCAGCTGGTAAATTTTAAAGATGGTGGGGTGGTAGACTTTACCCACAGAATTTTAGAACTAGGGGAGGGGACACAGCTCTACCTACCCCTTGGGACCTGCCGCCACTGAAAAATTAATAAGGTACTTGACAGCTGGGTTACCATAATAGGATATAATGGGGTAATAAGGCACTTGGGAGCTGGGTTACCATAATAGGATATTAGGGGGCAATACGGAACGTGAGAGCTTGGTTACGATAATAGGATAATATAGGGTAATAAGGCATTCAGGAGCTAAGATTAAGGGGTATTAAGGCACTCAGGAGCTAGGCTACCATAAAAGGATATTATGGAATAATAAGACACTCGGGAGCTGGGTTACCATAATAGGATATAATGGGGTAATAAGGCACTCGGGGGCTGGGTTAGCATAATAAGATATTATGGGGTAATAGGGCACTCATGAACTGAGTTACCATAATAGAATACTATGGGGTAATAAGGCATTTGGTAGCTGGATATCATGGGGTCATAATGCACTCGGAAGCTGGGTTTACTCAGGAACTGGGTTACCATAATTTACTAGGGACTTATAAAGCACTCAGACTGATTACTGTAATACGATATTAATAAGGCATTCAGGAGCTAAGATTAAGGGGTATTAAGGCACTCAGGAGCTAGGCTACCATAAAAGGATATTATGGAATAATAAGATACTCGGGAGCTGGGTTACCATATTAGGATATAATGGGGTAATAAGGCACTTGGGAGCTGGGTGACCATAATAGGATATTAGGGGGCAATACGGCATATGAGAGCTTGGTTACGATAATAGGATAATATAGGGTAATATGGCATTCAGGAGCTAAGATTAAGGGGTATTAAGGCACTTAGGAGCTAGGCTACCATAATAAGGTATTATGGAATAATAAGACACTAGGGAGCTGGGTTACCATAATAGGATATAATGGGGTAATAAGGCACTCGGGGGCTGGGTTAGCATAATAAGATATTATGGGGTAATAGGGCACTCATGAGCTGAGTTACCATAATAGAATACTATGGGGTAATAAGGCATTTGGTAGCTGGATATCATGGGGTCATAATGCACTCGGAAGCTGGGTTTACTCAGGAACTGGGTTACCATAATTTACTAGGGACTTATAAAGCACTCAGACTGATTACTGTAATACGATATTAATAAGGCATTCAGGAGCTAAGATTAAGGGGTATTAAGGCACTCAGGAGCTAGGCTACCATAAAAGGATATTATGGAATAATAAGATACTCGGGAGCTGGGTTACCATATTAGGATATAATGGGGTAATAAGGCACTTGGGAGCTGGGTGACCATAATAGGATATTAGGGGGCAATACGGCATATGAGAGCTTGGTTACGATAATAGGATAATATAGGGTAATATGGCATTCAGGAGCTAAGATTAAGGGGTATTAAGGCACTTAGGAGCTAGGCTACCATAATAAGATATTATGGAATAATAAGACACTAGGGAGCTGGGTTACCATAATAGGATATAATGGTGTAATAAGGCACTCGGGGGCTGGGTTAGCATAATAAGATATTATGGGGTAATAGGGCACTCATGAACTGAGTTACCATAATAGAATACTATGGGGTAATAAGGCATTTGGTAGCTGGATATCATGGGGTCATAATGCACTCGGAAGCTGGGTTTACTCAGGAACTGGGTTACCATAATTTACTAGGGACTTATAAAGCACTCAGACTGATTACTGTAATACGATATTAATAAGGCATTCAGGAGCTAAGATTAAGGGGTATTAAGGCACTCAGGAGCTAGGCTACCATAAAAGGATATTATGGAATAATAAGATACTCGGGAGCTGGGTTACCATATTAGGATATAATGGGGTAATAAGGCACTTGGGAGCTGGGTGACCATAATAGGATATTAGGGGGCAATACGGCATATGAGAGCTTGGTTACGATAATAGGATAATATAGGGTAATATGGCATTCAGGAGCTAAGATTAAGGGGTATTAAGGCACTTAGGAGCTAGGCTACCATAATAAGGTATTATGGAATAATAAGACACTAGGGAGCTGGGTTACCATAATAGGATATAATGGGGTAATAAGGCACTCGGGGGCTGGGTTAGCATAATAAGATATTATGGGGTAATAGGGCACTCATGAGCTGAGTTACCATAATAGAATACTATGGGGTAATAAGGCATTTGGTAGCTGGATATCATGGGGTCATAATGCACTCGGAAGCTGGGTTTACTCAGGAACTGGGTTACCATAATTTACTAGGGACTTATAAAGCACTCAGACTGATTACTGTAATACGATATTAATAAGGCATTCAGGAGCTAAGATTAAGGGGTATTAAGGCACTCAGGAGCTAGGCTACCATAAAAGGATATTATGGAATAATAAGATACTCGGGAGCTGGGTTACCATATTAGGATATAATGGGGTAATAAGGCACTTGGGAGCTGGGTGACCATAATAGGATATTAGGGGGCAATACGGCATATGAGAGCTTGGTTACGATAATAGGATAATATAGGGTAATATGGCATTCAGGAGCTAAGATTAAGGGGTATTAAGGCACTTAGGAGCTAGGCTACCATAATAAGATATTATGGAATAATAAGACACTAGGGAGCTGGGTTACCATAATAGGATATAATGGTGTAATAAGGCACTCGGGGGCTGGGTTAGCATAATAAGATATTATGGGGTAATAGGGCACTCATGAACTGAGTTACCATAATAGAATACTATGGGGTAATAAGGCATTTGGTAGCTGGATATCATGGGGTCATAATGCACTCGGAAGCTGGGTTTACTCAGGAACTGGGTTACCATAATTTACTAGGGACTTATAAAGCACTCAGACTGATTACTGTAATACGATATTAATAAGGCATTCAGGAGCTAAGATTAAGGGGTATTAAGGCACTCAGGAGCTAGGCTACCATAAAAGGATATTATGGAATAATAAGATACTCGGGAGCTGGGTTACCATATTAGGATATAATGGGGTAATAAGGCACTTGGGAGCTGGGTGACCATAATAGGATATTAGGGGGCAATACGGCATATGAGAGCTTGGTTACGATAATAGGATAATATAGGGTAATATGGCATTCAGGAGCTAAGATTAAGGGGTATTAAGGCACTTAGGAGCTAGGCTACCATAATAAGGTATTATGGAATAATAAGACACTAGGGAGCTGGGTTACCATAATAGGATATAATGGGGTAATAAGGCACTCGGGGGCTGGGTTAGCATAATAAGATATTATGGGGTAATAGGGCACTCATGAGCTGAGTTACCATAATAGAATACTATGGGGTAATAAGGCATTTGGTAGCTGGATATCATGGGGTCATAATGCACTCGGAAGCTGGGTTTACTCAGGAACTGGGTTACCATAATTTACTAGGGACTTATAAAGCACTCAGACTGATTACTGTAATACGATATTAATAAGGCATTCAGGAGCTAAGATTAAGGGGTATTAAGGCACTCAGGAGCTAGGCTACCATAAAAGGATATTATGGAATAATAAGATACTCGGGAGCTGGGTTACCATATTAGGATATAATGGGGTAATAAGGCACTTGGGAGCTGGGTGACCATAATAGGATATTAGGGGGCAATACGGCATATGAGAGCTTGGTTACGATAATAGGATAATATAGGGTAATATGGCATTCAGGAGCTAAGATTAAGGGGTATTAAGGCACTTAGGAGCTAGGCTACCATAATAAGATATTATGGAATAATAAGACACTAGGGAGCTGGGTTACCATAATAGGATATAATGGTGTAATAAGGCACTCGGGGGCTGGGTTAGCATAATAAGATATTATGGGGTAATAGGGCACTCATGAGCTGAGTTACCATAATAGAATACTATGGGGTAATAAGGCATTTGGTAGCTGGATATCATGGGGTCATAATGCACTCGGAAGCTGGGTTTACTCAGGAACTGGGTTACCATAATTTACTAGGGATTTATAAAGCACTCAGACTGATTACTGTAATACGATATTACAGAAGACTAGAACTATCAGAAGCTGAGTTGGTCAGTGCTATAAAATGTTAACGAGTAATAAGGAACTTAGTAGTTACTTATCAAATATAAGTCCACTAATACGTTTTGCTGAAAGGCAATAAGGCACCAGCTCCATTATTTATTTCATTCCATTTATTTCCCTCCATTTGTGTCTCTCCCCCAGGGACTGTCACTTCTGTTGATTGAGAGGATTAATATATTGAACTGTTTATTTTTCCCACTGTTGGAGCTAAGCCCTGTGATTAATGACAGAGAGCTAACTGGTGTGACAGGGAGAGAGAGGGAGAGGTATTGAGAGAGAATGGTAGCTGAGTGGAAGAGATCTGAGAGTGAATCAGAGTTGTATGATATAGGAATGTTATAGGAACAATGGAAGTTACACAAGGGGACTTGTATGGAGAAGGTGTGCAAGCTAAAGGGTTATAGAAAAACCTTAAAAATACACAAAAATCATTAAAAGAAAGAGAAAGAAAAACAGACAGAGGGGGCTGTAGGCCGTGTGTATAGAAAAGGACAATGAGCGACAGATTGAAATTAAGAGATAATATCGGACAGGGTGCATGCAAGAATAAGGGTTAGAAAACCTTGTAGGTCAAGCAGTAACATTACAGAGAGTGGATGAGACACCTGATAATGAGGGTAGAGAGAATATAGCAGAGGACAAGAGACCAGACCTCACAGTTATCTATGCACTCTAACTCTACAAATTTAGAATGTAGAATAGAATAAGAATCTGCACACAATAACAGGAAGAAAATTTTGTATTTCTTAATTTAGAGAATTTTAAAATATTGTATTAAATGCAAAAAAATATATATACATACGCTCTAAAATCACCACAAGATGTATACCAATAACCAATGTGAGATTTCTCACTACAATTTTATATGGTGCCCCTAGAAGGGGAACAGCAGAGAAAAAGTCATGGTCAGTTAGGGGCCAAATTCAGGTCTGTCCCACAAATGCAGAACTGTTTGCATGCCATAACGTGTACAGCCACTGTAAAGCCTTAATATTCTATGTCATGTCCCAGCTCCTTTACCTTATAACATTTTATAAAGCATTTTATCTGATGTATACTCATACCCATTACTGCAAAAAAACAGAATGATATAGTAATAAAGAGCATGCTAGAGGGTGCACAGATTACAGAGAGTGCAAGACAGCAGAATAGAGAGTTCGGGAGAGAGCACAATAGGCAGTGCAAGAGACAGCATAATAAGAGGGTGCAGGGGAGAGCCCCATGGGCAGTGTAAGAAATGAATAGAGTGTCTGCACATTTAGGGAGAGAGTTAATGGAGAAGCAGTCAGTTGGAGTCACACAGAGCACAGGTGCACACGTGGCGCTCTATTTATTCTCACACAAATGAAAATGGCAATAGCCCAAAGTATAAGGATGCAGCCATCCGTGCCAGGGAGGGTACAGGTACACAGAATCACTTTACACTGTGCAACCTGCATTATTATCTTTACATGATAGAATGCAGGTACTGAGATACTCCTCACCACAGTAATATACTTAGATTTCATATTGCAAATATATATCTACACACATATAAATAACATGGTGATATTCTGACAATGTTTTTATTATGTGTTATAATGTATCATATTTGTATGTCATACTCAGTATATGGTGTGGCAAACAAACAACATGAAGTGCTGGGTTGAATGGGATTTGAAGGATTCTTACTTGCGACTGAAGAGTTACGGCCTAAATCAGGGATAGGCAACCTTTGGCACTCCAGATGGTGTGGAATACATTTCTTCTAATGCCTTACCAAAATGATGGCTATAAGAGCATTATGGGGGATTTAGTCCACATCTGGAGTGTCTTAGGTTGCCTACACCTGGCCTAAATTGTGAATTATTGACCAGATTTATTCTGTAATGTATGATTAAGGGGAATCCAAACTGAAGTGAAATGGATTGATTCAGGACCTGATTACCATAAGGTAGAATGGGTGACCACTTAGAGCCTGGGCTTAGATAGTCAAACAGGGGCCTGTATCTCTAGCTCAGTCCGTGAAGGGGATTTTGCGTAGCCTACAGGGAGATCAAGGGATCTTATTGTTGAGGGCTGTGTCCCTATTCACTACCTTGATGGAGCGTTGTGATCTGCATCTCTAAGAGCTCTCAGCACTCTTCAATGACTCGGAGCACCATAGCCAGCACATTCCGAGTCATTGTCTGAGTGCCAGAACTGTAAGGGAGCTCTTTAAGAGATCTGCACCTTATAGAAGTGCAGATCATAACGCTTCCCCACCAGACCACTAGGAATCCTGCCCAGAGTGCACTCCTACGGGACACCAAGGATTATTATTTCCTCCTGCGAAAGGTAAACAGGAGGGGGGACTCTACAATCTCACACACATACATACATACATACATTCTTAAAACACAGCCATTACACACAACACTCACACACCCACATTCACAGAACAGGGCCCTGGGCACTAAGAGGGAGCCAACATCTGGCATCCTACAGAGGACCTGCGACAATCTCATTCCCACTCTGGTTTGACTCATTAAACAGCGCATTGTGAAGTGAAAATCATATTGCAAAATCCAGGGTAAAATAGCCGAGCTTTAACTATAGCTGAGTTTTTTTCCCAAATCTTGGCCTAAGTTTTGCAATTCCGACTTTGATTAAATGCAATGTGCAGTTCAGTGAATAAATCCCACAACGAAAAAGTGAGGCAACATTGGAAAATGACTCAATTCTGTTTTCACTTCAGCTACTTTACATTTGTTATAATCCACTCTTTAGTGAAAAAAAAAAAATGAAATGGCTTCAGATTGCAGCTCACTGTTTAGTGATTAATCTTCTACAGAACAGAATGTGACTCCCCTCCCTTCTTGCACTAATCTTAGTTTCTTCATACCCCTTGTACTATTTACTTAGTTAAGCACTCTATATGTTTATCTCTCAAGACAGGAGTGTGGAAATAAATACAGAGCAGGTGCCTGTTAACTCATTCACTGCTGTTTGTTTGTGTATATGCACAGGGCAGGGTTTATATTCATACTATATAGAGACTATGGAAAAACATGTTTTATCCAGACAGGGAAGTGTGTATCACAAGGTGAACACATCAAGTACTTATTCTTGGTGCTTTAACACTTTTTTTTTTTTTTTTTACTTTTTAGGACTTTTATCAGTAAGGTGTAGATGAAAGTCAGTACAATTAATCTAAACTACCAAAGAGCTGAAGAGTGCCCTCATATCACTCTCAGCCAACCGACTTTGGAATTTAGTCATGTTGAAGAACAAAGCGCCACGTTCCAGCAGATTTGACAAAGACCCTGCTGTAGTCCCAGACATTGTGCCTGAAACAAGCAGCTGTGTAGCTGTGTCCTTCCTTCACAGTTGTATCTTCATCGATTTTCTACGGCTCTGATGCAGAGCCCAGTCTTGCAGTTTTGTGGTCAGTTTCAGCAGATGAAAGATGTGATGGTCACTCTGGATGAGTTTTCTGCAGGTCATGGTGCAATAATTACCAGTATAAGGTCAATTTCACATGTCTGATTCATGAAGTTCTTTGAATTTTGAAGTTTATTCACTCAACTGATAATTTACAGAGGAGTTACATATTTTAAAAGTGCACTCCAGTAATCAATATAGCTTTATTGTATTTCATAGTTAAATAATTAACTGTATTTTTTTGCATGCCCAATATTCTATAGCCCTTGCAAAAAAAAATTTTTTAAATCAAACTCTGCATACTATGTACATACTAACCTGTTCTAAAATACTTCTTTTTTGTTGTTGCCTCTATATGTATACAGCTGTACAGCTCATTCTTGTTCCTCCCTCCTAAATTGCAGGACCAGTAACACAGTTCTACATATCATCAAGAAGTACAACGAAGATTTTGGGAGTTTGGGAGTTGTACTTCAGCCAAAAGCTTTAGTAGGCAGATGATATCTGAACTACATATACCAAAAACACCAGTTTTTAACAGAACTGAGACTGTTGAAAGAGAGCTTTGAAATCTGCAAATCAGCCTCTCCCACCTGCATATTAAACCTTGCTGTATTTAGTTAAACATATCTAGCAATTCAGACTGCATAGACCAGAATGAGAGGCTCCTGATTGGCCAAACTACTTCAAGTGTGAACAAAGCTCAACGATGATGATGTAATGTGGATTTACACAAAATAAAGTAACTTTAAACGTTGTATCTTGTTTATCTCTTACTGTTTTTGATTGGTCAGGTTTATATATATATATATATATATATATATATATATATATATACACTGCTCAAGAAAATAAAGGGAACACTTCCTGCCAGCAGCACTTGCGGTGTAGCCGCAATTTGTTTAAAAGGGGCCTGGTCGCGCACCGGGCCCCTGAAGATATAGGGCCTAAATGCTTAGGCCATCTGATGGGCCCCAGTACAGATGCACCTGCGGCAGTTTTACCGCTCCACGTGGGGCCCGGGAGCCCGGGCGTCCGTGACAACCATTATGGTTGTCACCCCCTGATGGCGGCCCTGCACACAATGCAATTGTTCACTAATTACAGAGATTGGTATTGCTATGATATCAGTAAAACAAAATCAAACTGAGTGGTTTTGTGTGGTGTAAAGAAGTGAAATTAATAATGGGATGAAATGCACATCTAGAGGGTTACTCCAAGCACCATGGCCACTCTCAGTGATTTGAAATGGTCATTGTACCTGAAGTGTGTATGCACAGCATTTCACTATGAAATGCTGCACATATAGCGTTTAACAAGAGTTCTAGGCTGGCTAATATCAATTCTGTGCATATTTTGAGTCTGTCATCACCACGCACGGCATGCTGGCAACAGACAGCCAATGGCGGCACAGACCTCCCTTAGCCTGTTTTTTTTTTTTTATTTCACTGGTGGGAGAGGGCTGGACGTATAGGAAGGGTTACTCTAACCAAAACCAGTGTTTCTTAAAATACTGGGTTTTGGGTGTAGTAACCATGTCATAAGTCATAGTAGTATGTGGATTATAAGTGTTTAAATGCATGTTTTACAGGATGTTTGTAAGTAAAATATGGTAGTAAGAATTGTAAAATAAAAATTGATTTTTATTACTTGCCTTAAAATTCTTCTGGTACACATTCCATTTTATATTTTTCTTTCGTTTGTATTCCCCGATGGTAGACGTGCCAAAGGTTAAATGTGGATTAGTGAAGCATTTTGCCACACTTTGGCTTGCATTAGCACATATATTATTATAAATAATTAAAAATAAGCAACATTGAAAACTATAGATATCTATGACAATTGGACTCCTATAAACAGGTTTACTTCCAAAGTAGTGCTAAAGCATGTTGCTAGCTGAAACTAAATCCAACCACTAGTGTTTCCTGAGACAGCACACTGTAACATATCACTTGCAACCCATAGGTTAGAGCAGACTGTATTAACCCCTTAAGGACACATGACATGTGTGACGTAATGATTCCCTTTTATTCCAGAAGCTTGGTCCTTATGGGATTAAAGCACTGTTGCTGCTTTAACCAACTTTGTTGGTTAAATGTTTTGGCACAGTGTGCCACTTTGGTATCATTATTGATGCAGACCGCTTCACCTTAGACTTAGAAGGTGGTTCTTCAAGCTATTTAATCATAAGGTGTACTTAGTTTTTCACACTTGACGTCTCCATTTTGGCTTTTTTTTTAGTAATTAAATCAAGACACGAACACTTCCCTCCACCCCAACCCCCTCCCCCCCCCCAAAAAAACCCCCCAACAAACACATTTTCTGTACATGGGTAATCTTAGCTGCTCATATACAATATGAAGGGGACCTACAAACGGAATGATAGGCTCTTCTCACGTTACTGAGCATCACCACTGCTACAACTATTCCCCTTCCTCTCCTACGTCTCTTAACGCTCTTCTCTCGCAAATACTTGCCTGCTCTCTCTCTTTATCTTTTTTGTTATATTTCTAACATATTAGAAATTATTGTTGGTGCTGCTAATGTAACCAAGACGAAGCAAGACACCTCAAGCATCACTCTACAACTTTGACTCAGGTTGTTGAATTCTTTTTATGACACGAACTTGCAGTATCACCATTAACGGGGATTGTCAGTTGGTCCATTTTTGTTCAAGCATACAGTATATGTTGTTTGACATTGCTTATGATGTATGTGCCAACAAACAATAAAGAATTAAAGTAAATAAATAAAGTATGACACAATGTAATATGTCATGTGTTGTTGTTCATCTGAGATTGAATTTACTACATTTTAAGATCTGCTAAGGAACAGATGACTGTTATTGTGTCCTGATATGTAAACTAAAAGAGGCTGTACTTTCTTTTTCCCATTATTATATATATATATATTATTTTCATTTTTTTATATATATAAAACAAAAAATGAAAATTCTGGCACTCTACCTTTAAATTATTTAAATCCAAAAAGCCACGTTGCTGCACAGCGTTAGGGTTATATAGGAAATGAAGAGATGAGAGCACTCAAAGAAATTGATGTTTTGGCCCTAAATATTCTCTTAAAATCAGCACTTTTATAAATCTCTTTGATAAATGTCTGGTTAACAGCCAGGAAAATTGCCTGGATTTTAATGCTTTGCTGTGATTGTCACACGTGTGCCTTGTCTCCCCAATGTTTCTCAATGAGAAGCACTGGATTAGCCGAGATTTCATCACTACCTTTCAGAGGTGAAATGGAGCAACAACAAAAAGATGGTCTTGCCACTGGAACAGGGGTAAGTAACATAAGTTGGGAAGAGAGTACTGTAAAAAAAACAAAACAAAAATAAAAAAACCGCAAGCAGGAGCATTTTAATGTTAGAAATAAATGTATTTATTTCTAACATTGGAGCCTTCCTTTGATGCACTATTTAGATAATGCATTCAAAAATAAAAATGTTAAATATTAAAAAGAAATATAAATTAAGAAAAAATCTTCCATGAAACAGTATGGCTTCAATAAGGTTATCCTTTCTCCCCTTTCAGGTTGTCCCCTTCCTCACCAGGAAGAGGCTCCACCAATCAGGAGCCTTTCATTCTGATTTTTGGGGACTGATTTAATCCCATAATTCGAGTAGAATGCTATCTAAAAAATCGTTATGGTAAAATTGTCATGGCCTTTAACACGCACCCTTAAGTAATAAAAACAATGTTCCTCACCTAAAACCAAAATATGAACATCCAGGGCTGAAAAAAAAGAGAGAATCTCAAATACCAAAAAGTTTGGTTAAATTTAAATTAGGAATGACCTTTATTTTGAATGTTATAAGGATCAATAGGTTATTTACATTGGCTCATAAGATGAATGTTTGGTTGAACCTCTCTTTTGTACCCTCTTGTGTTTTTGATAACATCGAAAGCACTGGACTAATGCTGAAGATATGGTTTCTGTTTAGAGAGGAATTTACATGGATACCTGTAATTTGTAAATGGTGTAATTATATTGACCAGTGGTCACATGTAGTTCCTTTGCTACTGATTCCTACTTAAAAGAGCAAAACAAAGAAAGTTGATGAGTCTTTAAAAGCCAGCCATGTTAAAGACCAACAACAACAGCTTGTTCAAAGAGCCATGTGTCTACTACAGATGACTTACAATAATTTGGGGTGGCAAAATTAGGTGGCATCAGTTTTACCACCTCTAGCCCTTAAAGTCTAACTTGAATCTCTACCTTTAAACTTACTTACATAATAAGTATGGCCAATATGATCCAATCTGTAAGACTAAAAAATATAAAGGGTGTATAGCATTGGTATGATGCTTCTTCCTTAGGGAAGAGTCCAGCAGTATCACAGTTTTACAGCCATCTGTGACCCATATGAAGGGTATACAATGGCAACGAAGTATATTGAATGTCCACCATCAAAATGAGTTAAATAAGAAGAATGGACAATGAAAAGTGAAAAGAGTACTGAAATAAAAATGATGAATGGAAATGGGAACTTGGGACCACTTTCAGATTTGTTACTAGAGTACTGCATAAGATTAGGAATTCTCAAAACATTTTTGATCACTGGCCTGGGCATAGCAACATTACCGATCATCAGGGTCACAAAAAGCCATGAGGAGTCAGATACAATGTGGAAAATTATAAAAACTTACTGTATGAGTCCACTGTTGCATGAGACACATCAACTGTTTAACACCTAGCAACTCAACAGACTCAGCATAGAGTCTGGTGGAGATATCAAAAGAATTTCACTCCCCAAAAATTCCCCAACATTGCAATACGTATTGCACACTTGAGTTCTGTAAGAGATTGCAGAGTGTCAATCAATTAATTAAGTAACTGGTTTTCTGGACAAACAGAATGAAGGAAACACCATTGTGAGGAAGTGAGAAGATTTAAGGGAAGCAATAGTGGAATAGCTTGACTTTACCACAGGACTCTTGAAAATTGACTGATGGTCTGAGGGTTTTAATTTCAGTTCCTTTATTTTAATAATCTTCTCTTTGAACTTGAACTATGATTAATGTAGTACTGATGGCTTGTATAGTAAGATGGGTCACTGCTAACATCTTAATGGGCTTGGTAGGGCAGCCTGGTGATGAGTGAATACCAATTTAGTCAACTTAGTTATCTTAATCATTTTCCTCCCTGGATGGCTCTGTAAATAATGTTCAAACCAGCTGGGCATACCTTCTTACCACAGGGCACTTTGCTGGCAGCATATACGAGAAAAGGAGCTGGAGTAGTTTTACCTACTTGATAGGAGTAGCTTTTCCTACTTGACAACCTTGATCCTTGTGATAGACCACCCAGTCACCCAGGACTGCTTAATGTCTAAACCAACCACCATCTCCCAATAAAAAGAACGCTAATCATTATATGTACCCCTCCAGCCAGTGCATCCAAACCCAGTGGTCCAGGAGTCATCACAAACAGACAGGGAACTTGTAGAGGCACGGCACATGTGACCGAGAACAACCCTAAAACTCTCTGGAACTTCTGATTGGATTGCAGAGTTGCCACAGTTCAGTAAAACTTTGTCAAGGGTATTGTCACCCCATTCAAGACTTCACCTCCAGCTAACTCCTGCTAGCCACCTCTACTCCAAATGCTTTTTTCCGGGGACTGCAGTTGTTTGTGGATGTTGGCATAATTAGAAATTGTAAATCAGCACTGAAGTGTCTGGCTGCTGATTAAATTATTTGGTCAGATACCTAGGCAGCAG